TAATTAAGTTACTTATATATATGACATACCAGTCCATTCTATTTCTAAATATTTGAATATAACATACCAAATACAAGATTTCATTTGACAATAAATTCTACATGGTAATTCATTTTACAATGAAATTAATTCTCGATTCATTTGGTACCAAACGATATGTAAGTGTATAGTCTTGGATCATAAAGGAGTAGAGGAATTACATTAATGTTTCATTCCGTTGATTACATGCTAGGGTTAGGGGATATCGATTCCAAGGACTTCATTTCTCTTGAGTCAAACTAGAGTTGCATTTTTTTTAGAGTTGCATTTTAGTTCTTGCTATTGTTTATATGTAACTTCTATTAAACTAATCGATTGAACAATAGTGAAACTTTGAAGTAGCAATAGATTCAATGACCTATGGGAAATGAGGCAAATATCTTCTAGGCGGTACCGATTTGACTAATAACATTGTTTCTCTCCAACCAGCAGATATGGTATGATACAATTATTTATCTAAACCAAACAATTTCTTTGAAAAATAAGGTTTAAGAAAGCGTTTGGCGTAAGGCGGGCGTTGAGTGTTGGATGTAAATGTAGCAAAATAACACACACTTGCCTGGAATCACAAGTTTATGAACCAATATCATCGTGTCTACCTCTCATTTCTAAACTCTCAAGTTTCATCAACTACACATAGTAAAGTATAAAATATAGTATGGAGAAATGAGAAATGAAGAAGTTTAAAATAACGATGCATATTGAGAAAGAAGCATAGAAAAGAAATAAGAAGCTATTATAAAGATGGTCGTCTCTAACTCTAGTCTAGCAGCTAGCAACACTCGGGAGGGGAAGAATGAAATGATAGGACGATTTTGATTTTGTTTTTATTAAAAGGTAGAAAAGACACACTATGACGTCGTTTTGAGGCCGTCATTCAGGTTTAATTGTACACATTTTACCCCTCATTTCTTGACAGTTTAACTTTACATTTCATCGTCCCTGGACATATTTTACGCTAGGTTGTGTTTGTTTTGTTACATTTCAGGTCCTAACACGTGTGGAAGGTCGAGGACGAGTTTCAGGTTGATTGGAGGTCGAAAAGTGCGAAAAGATGAAGTAAAGTCCAAAGTCACGGTTTGGACGCAATTGTCACGGTCTACATAAGCAAGTGTCCATAAATTGCTACGGTGAAAAGGGTTGACTGTTGTATTGATGACCAACTAAAATAATTGGTCAAAAACTTTCCATCATCTACTTCCTCGTCGTTTCATTTTTCACTCGCCTTACATAGACGATAGACCACAACCCTTTCTTTCTTTCTTTCTTTCTTTCTTTTCCTTCTTCGTCTAACCCTAATTAGTATACTGTTTTTACGTATTCTAATCACAAATATGAACGGGTCCATACACGGCTCACCAACAATCTACACAACTAATAATTGAACCATAAACCACTAACTTTTTCAGCTCAATGTCGAGTTTAATTAAAAATAAATATCTATGGCTATTACTTATTAGAAAGTCATCATTTTCCACTATGGGATTTGAGAGCGTCATATTTTAAGCGAGTTCCAGTTTGTATTCCTTTTGCTTCTCTCTAGAGTTTTTCTTTTTCACCCGGGCTAGAACTTTCAACAATTATACATGGAATGTTTAGCTAGGTGTCTTATGACTAAATATGTACACATATTCTACCCCTCATTTCTTGATTGTTTAGCTTGGTATTTATTATATTTTATCCTATTTTATGCTAGGTTATGTTCCTTTGTCACATTTCAAATCCTAGCACGTAAAGTGAAGCATAGGCGCAAGTTTCAAGTCAATCGGAGATCAATTGGCGACTCGGGGGAAGAAACTCGGGCATGAACTGAAGAAGAATAGATTTGTACCTCATTTTTATACCATAGAATCATGTAATCTTGTCATGAGAAGAAAGAAGACGAGACTACGAGCGTCTAAGATCAAACGACACCTGATTTGAAGTCCGAATGAGGGAGAAACGAAGAATCAAAGACAGGGGACCCGAAACTGCTAAATACCTTGTCAAGAGGTTCAAAATATCCGATAGGGTATTTTGAAAATCTGATAATGTAGTTTTGATCAGAAGGCCCCCCGGTCGTGAACCAAAAATACTCGATCGGGTATTTCCCTAATTGCGCAAAAAAGTGATCCGGAGCTTTTTGAAGATCCCGGTCACCAAGTACAATTACCCGACTGGGTAATATGACAAGGTAACTTCCAGAAGCGGATACAATTACCCGATCTGGAAAGTTATACTGCATTCTCTCTCCTCTATATGGAGTAACTTCCCTTCACTTAGGTTTTGAGAAACCCTAGCCATGTTTGTTTGATTGGATGATTGTATGAGTACTCCTACTTGATAATCTTGAGTTCATATTCAATCTATGCATGTTTCCATTATTCAATTCTGTTTTAGTCAAGATTATTGATTCTGCTTTGGTCCTATGAGAGTGAATACCCGATTAGGTCAATAGAGCACCATAGATTGATAGTATAGGATCGATTGCTTTAGTTGAGGGTCGATCACTGCTTTGTATCGATTGAGAACCTCATTCGATAGAGGGTGTCTAGTTCAGAACCTTGATCGATTATTCTAGGGAAGGATACGTCCCTCTAGGCAATCCACTCAAGAGGGCCTTGGCTTCTTTAGTCGAGATTCAAGGTCTAGTCAAGGATTCTCCGCATTGTGAATGAAAGTGAAACATGTTAGAGATCATCAATCATTAATCTTGCTAGTGGCTAGGGGTAATCATACCTAAGTGAGTTCTCAACCTGTAATTAGATTAACTTTAACTGTAATTTGCTAGAGTAGTTATAGTTCTTCCATCTTAATCTGGGTTGCTAGATAATGAACTGAAACTGAGTAATAATAACTCTAGAGACCCGTGGATTCGATATTATTACTTGTGTCAATATACTGCAGTCCCTTTCATTGTTTAGACTTAGCCATTGTAAGGAGTTGTGTTTTAGCGAGTCAGTATCAAATAAATAGTTTTCATTTTTCAATAATTAAACTCCATCTCTAATGTGGATAACAAGTTGTTTTGGTATTAGAGCATACATGGATTAGCAAATATGATCTTCTATTATGCATGGGTTTGCTGATTTGATCTTCTAATTTGATGCCTTATTCTTCTTTACAGATTCTTAGAGGATAATGAGTCGGTAGAGGATCATTTCCTCAACAAGACATAGTTGAAAGATGGGTTCTCTCACTACAAAAAAAAAAAAAAGGTTTGGGGATGACAAAAGTTGTCCCCTGAAATAGGAAAAACTGTCCATATAATTTTTGGAGACGACCAGTCGTTCCTAATGTGTGGTTCTCTATACTCTTGTCCTTTATTCTTTTGGGGAAGATACAAATCTAGGTCGTCCCCATTACTAGGGACGACAGTCGTCCCTGATACTAGCAAGTCGCCATCTCGTTTCTCTTCCATCATAGACAACATGTTGTCCCTATAGCTAAAACCTTAGGAACAATAAGTCATCTCCTAAACATCATTTCCAGGGACAGATTGTTGTCCCCCATAATTGATTTCATGATTATGTTGGGCCTATTTTGGGATAATTTATTGTCCCCTTTTCTTTTTATAGGGTTGACATGTCGTTCCTATAGGTATCAAACTGGAGTACAAAAATCGTCATTGAAAGGTTTATTAAAGGACTACGAGTTGTCTCTTATAACGTATCTTTAGAGACGACAAGTTGTCACCTGTGACTTTTAGGGACGAACAATTGTCATTTAATTATGTATTGGGGGACGAGGGGTTGTTACTTATGAAACTTCTGAGAATGACTTATTATCCTTATTAAAATCATATAAACGACTTGTTGTTCATTATCATGTGTCTTTGGGGACGACTAATTGTCACATGTATCACTTGCGAGACGATCAAGTGTCCCTTAACTTGTATTTTTCAAGGATGCCTAATTGTCACCTATTTGACTGGTAGGGACGACCAATCATCTTTAAAGCAGTGTCTTCAAGAGCGTTAATTTGTCACCTATTTAACGGGTAGAGACTGAGAGAGTGATGCTTCATCACTAGCTGCACTTTCCAGCGGTTCACAACCACCTCCACCACACGCTTTCATTCATTCCGACAAGTCATGGTAGCTAGTTAGGGGAGCTACACTCGGGCGAATCCTTCTCATTTTGAGTCAAAATCAATTACTTTTACAATCGTTTTAATTGTAGATCGTAGTTTTCAACCAATAGCCAATCGCTAGATAATGTTTCAAACAATCGAAGTAGGGGTACATGGATCGGCCCATGTTGATATTTAAACATATTTGCCTTATATTGCACCCAATTAAGGTTTATACTTGGGCCCTAATTGAGAGTTTTATTGTGATATTCGGGATAAGTCAAGCATCAATTTGAGGGAGTGTGTTGAAAATGTCAGTTTACTTAGTTTAGGTAACTTATAGTAATAATATACTCTTACGTAAGTTCCTAAGCTAAATAGGATTAGGGTTACAAGTATTCGGTAACCTAGCTATATATATCACCATGTACACTGTAATACTAATTGCTGAATAAGATAGACTCTGGATAGTTCTACCTCTATCTTGAACTAATCATGATTCTCAGGGGAACAACGTAAAATCTTGTGTTCGTGTTCTTTACATTCGTTTTCTTATCGCTATGGATCCTATTGTGATCTTCCCTTGGTCTCAGCCACATAGAGCTCGAAGGCAGAGATCTTTCACGTAAGATGCCACTCGTCGTTTGGGGAGTGTAAGAACTACGGTTCTTTGTGTAACTTGGAATTCATGTAACCGGATAGATAGAAAGAGATTTGGGGATTGAAAATAAGAATTAGGAATTTGAGAAGAATTGAGAATTGGGATAAAAAGGATTAGAATTGGGAATTAAGGATTTAGAAGAGATTAGATAAAAAAGAAGAGAAGTGTAAATCGAATAGAGTTTGTCTATTAATTTCTTATTCCTTCTTAGGTAAGATGCCAACTACATATTTATAATAAAAAAAACCCAAAACCCTAATAATAATCCTAATTCTACTAGGCTCAGCCCAACTCCTAAAACCCCTAATATTATGTTTCTAACAATATTAGGTTTCTAACAGGGAGGTATTTGAAGGTTTCAACTGGGTCCCCTTGATCTCCAGTGGCATGATGTCAAACTGAGACCGATTATAGAGAAAACAATGTATCTATAAAACCAACTAAGCATTTCCCCAAATGGAACACAATTTGTGACTCTTGGGTGAGGTTACCAGATGCAATCTAACACCCACTTGGTTTGTCTGAGAAGAAAAAGGAGCTAAACTTTTCCTCTATCTAAAGATCTATAGATATTTATTCCGTGACAACATTCAACAAGAAGCTACTTGTGAGAGTGAGTAGGTTCTAATGCATCTCAACTCACTGTCGAATGTGTATATTTTACAGGATAATAGGCTTGCATTCACCGTCCTTCCTCCGTAATGTAAACGCTGGATGCGATTCCCATCTGTCGACCAAAGACCAACTTCATGAAGATCACCTTCTTTCCAGCAAACATTCACTGTTACCCCGCCTCGCGCCTTCAGTCCTTTAACGCAGCCATTAGGCCACTTGTCACGAGGAAGAGCAGGGAGCAGATACAGATCTTTCACGGTGCTTTGAACTAACATTTCTGCAATTGCTGCCGAGAAACTGAAAGGGCGGACATGAAAAGGAGATCACTAGTGAGCAAGTAAAAATTAAAATATTCAGGCATCTTGTACTATGTAACTATCGTGAGTTGGTGAACAAGATGACTCGGCTCGGTTCTCTCTAGTTTCAACAATTAAAGCATTAACCCAAAGATAACCAAGTTGGTGATACAAAGACATAGAATTTCTTTGAAAATCTCACACGGTTACTCAGAAAACTACACAAAGAAGACTAGCAAGCATGCAATTTTCTTTCTTTGCTTGAGCACGATTTCTCAAGCAAAAAAAAAAAAAAAAAGACAGTAAGATGATTACCCAAAGTTGGCATCAATCTGGAATGGCGGGTGACTGGTGAACAAGTTACTATAAAGTCCTCCTTCATATTCACTTTCATGAGCAGGATCCACCAGGACAAATAAATGCTTAACCATGCGGTATGCCTCCTCTTTCCTGTGTAAACGTGCCCAGAGTGCAGCTTTCCACATAGTCGACCATCCAGGACCTACCTCGCCTGGTTAGACAGTAAAACTAAGCACTTAAGAGATGCCAAAAATGTGAACACTCTAAAATTGCAAGTTGTTCAATGGTAGTTCGCAGATTGAGAAATGATGATGGAAATGTATGAACTTTTGACCTTGAGCATTCTTTCTCATCAGGCACAAGCCAGATTCCAACTAGGTCTTAGTAAGCGTTTCTTAATTATCATTGTCGAGTTGGAGAGCAGTACCTCTCTTTGTCAGGGTGTTTTCTGCAGCTTTACTGAGGTCTGGATTCTTCTGAAGCGTAATAGTATGCCCAGGAAACACTCCAAAGAGGTGGGAGAGATGCCTGTGATGAATGTCTGGGTCAATGAAATCCAAAGCCTGTCGATTGAAGAAAACATGAGAAAAAACATAATGCACCGTGCGCTTCCGGATTGTCTCAAGGCAATGCAAAATAGTCCAGCTATTTGACCGGAACTCATAAGTCAAGCATCTTAAAGCAATAAGATAATTGAAGAAACATACCCATTCCATAATGGTACCATCTCTAGAAATTTTAGTAGGTGGAAGCTGCTGCTGAGCCTCGCGGACTTTTTGAATGAGTTCATCGTCTGTTCTTCCTAGAATCTGTTTACAAAGAGGGCACAAGTTGCTATGAATAAATATATGGAGCTGGAGCCACCATATACAAATGCCAAATTACTTTATTCGGGAAAGAGAACTAACATTACCTCAGCTGCAGAGAGAATTTCAGAGAAAACTTCTTTTATAATTGACGTGTCCATTGTTGTTGAGTAGCTCACACTTGCTTGCTTACCATCCGGGGCAATGAACATATGTTCAGGAGAAGTTGATGGATTAGTTTCCAAATATCTACCAGGACCTTTGATCAACCAGCTCAACAGGAATTGGACACATCCTTCCAGTAAAGGGTATGCCTTATTTTTCAGGAAATCCTAACAAGAAAATGGTAGCGCTATTATTGGAGGTTTCTGAAACTTGAGGCCTAAGGCAAAAGAATGCTAACTCGGCTACAAAATAAATAGACATGAAAGCATTTTTGAAATTTCAAAATCCTTAGTAAAAGCACTTTTAAAGCAGGATTTCCCAAATTCTGCAGGGTGCAGGCCCATAACATCATTTATAGCCATTCAATTTTGTTCTGCAGACATCACTGCATCAAATTCTTGACAACCTTATGGACAATTAACAGTCATAGAAAAAATAAATATATATTGACACAAAAAATAGTGGTAAGTGCTCCACGGTAAAACCTTTTAACCTTGTGCTGTAGACTTGTAGCCTCAATGCATCATGCTAGTTGTTCACTTTTAACAAGTTCTCTCACCTACAAACTTTTATTTTTTCCCAGTGTCAAAACTTCTCACTTACAAAAACAGGGATATGTTTGTAAAACCAACAAATTCTTAAATTGTAGAGGTCTCTCTTTAACAGCATACATTTCTCTAAAACTGAAAATAGCAATGGTTTTGGTTTCTGGTTTCCGTAAATGCTATACACTGCATGTCTACTACTAAAGAGCCAAAATGTAGGAACTCATGCTAAAAACTCAAGATCAGGGTGAATATCTTACCGTGTCCATTGAGTAAACAAAATGCTCCCACAAATGGGTACAAAGCCAAGCCCCACCCATTGGCCAGAAAGCCCATACAGCTTCTCCGCGGTCTGGGGATGTTTTTGCCCATATGTCACTCACTTGATGTACAACCCAACCATTAGCTTCATAGTTCACCTGCATCAAATTCAATTCACCGAGCCAGAATTACAAACTTAAATAGTAAGGAAATGAAGTGCACAACTTTTTATGTCTTCAAATGAGGCAACAACTGATGAGGTTTGAACACAAAATAGTTCAATTCGGATACCCTGCAAGAACTAAGGATGGCTGTGAAAGTTTAAAGGCAATTAGCAGATATGCATATCATTAGAGAGAAAGTGGTGGCTTTGTACTTGTGATGTGTTTGCTAGTTGGTAGAGTTACATGGTGAGCTCACCCAAGCTACAAAAGCTAAACAATAATAAATAAAAAATTGCTTAGAGAATATCAACACACTGCATAGGTTTACAGCTTCAGAATTTTATATAAACACGACGATTCTTGGATGGTTTGGCATATAAACTTGAGCAGAGTCCAAATAATCAAAATTCAAAGTAGATCGACATATATCAGAAAGATGTTGTGAGGTAGACAACCAGGAAAAGATTGAATATGAAGAAGTATAAAACCTCAGAGGTTCAGAAAGGGAAGGATTACATACTTTTGCAGTCTTGGTCCCATTGATCGAAAGAAAGGAAATGTAGTCGAACAAGGGCTCTTGACACTCCTTGAGATTGCATGATAGAGCCGGCCAATAGTTCATTTGTAGATTTATATTCAAGTGTTGAGCACCGCTAAAAAAAACGAAAACAAGAAACAGATTCTTCAAAGTGCACTCGCATGACCTGGTAGTATTAAATCAAAGAGATTGTGGTGACTCGCATGACTTTCTCATGGGAGACATCTGTGGAGTTACATTAGAAATGTGATTATAATGAGGCATAGCAGAATGAACGACACTATAGAAATTGGAGGAAAATTGGATGACGAAAAGAGTCCATCATTAAGTTCTATAAGAATGAAATTGATTAACTGTTGAAGAAAATGCACAATTTATAAGAGTGAGTTAGTACACCAAACTTGCTTAAGCTCAGAGCAGTATCCAACTTCCGGTTTCATGCAAGATCAACACCTGATCTCCAGTTAGCTTACTTTCAGTGCTTCTGTACGTGATCTCATGATTATAGTGAGAAACGTAGACTTAACTTTATCATGTTAGCATAAGTTCCCTCAAATGTCTTAAATGTCAACCATAGGCGAACCTACATCAACAATGGACAGAGATATAGAAATATAATTGCATTTAAAAACATCAATCTGGGTAGAGAGAGAGAGGGAGATAGCATACTCCCATGGTGGCTCTATATCCTTATTCCACAAGCCCTGGAGGTTTGCTACCTGGGTTCCAGGTCTTGAACAAGATATAAGCAAATATCTACCATACTGGAACAGAAGTTGCACCAGAGATGGATCTTCATCAGTTTGAAAGGATTTCACCCTCTCTGCAGTTGATACAGTGGTGTTTTCACTTCCCGTAAAGGGCACACTTTCGTCAGCAGCAATTTGCTTTTCTGCATTCAAATGTGCACTCCCTAAGACATTCTTAGAGCTTTTCCAAAGCTCCAAAGAAACGCGGCGAAAAAGACTTTGATAATCATCCAAATGGTGTGCATGTATATCAGCATATGACAACTTTCTTAAAGAAGTCATTGCAGTTTTGCAATCTGAGGATGGATCTTTCTTGGAATCAATAGGATTCGTGAAAGGCCCATCAAATGAAGATGAAGCCACCAGCAGAATAACAGCCCAATCCGCACCTTCAACCTTCAACTTTCTACCATCCACATCACTGATCACTCCTGTGTCTCCGCCAATTTGCAAGTTTAGCAAAGCAGAAAATTGAATCCCCTTTGGATTATCACCGGCATTCAACCTTGGCGGGATCCTTTTCCCTGGACAGCTCCCTTGAAAATGGATCTGATTGTTCTCTTGCACAAATGAATGGTGATGCATCTTGCTATCCATGTACAGAGTAAATGACAAGGAACCTTTCTCACTTCCAGAAAGCCTCGTCACAAGAGCCTGATCAGGATAAGAAGCAAAATATTCCCTCTTATATTCAATATCTCCAACGGAATATTTCACTGTTGTTGTAGCGGTATCCAAATCCAGTTCTCTGTGGTATGTTTCCTCGTCAAATTTGAGGTGGGAAGTGTCGAATTCAAGTATCATATCCCCAAGCAGTTGGTAAACCTTCAAGACAAAAACCCTTCACATCAAGAGAAGAAGAAAAACTGAAAAAGAACCAAGAGTTTCCAATAAAGGATCAATCAATCTGCATCAAGAGAACTAAGTCTAACACCACCAAACATAGTAGCTAACTAAGATTAAGCTGCATAATCCCATATAAACAGACCTCAGAAGGATGGTCAGACAATTTGATGGCTTCTTTAGTAGCTTGGGTGAACTGACCATCATCAACAAGTTTTCTGACATCGGAAAGAGCAGCCGGAGCATTGGGGTTAGTATAGTTACCAGGAATGCCTGTCCACAGTGTATCCTCTACACAAGAATTCAAACAAAGATCAGCCAGCTGCGACAGGAAAAGCAGGGTTTCAACACATTCCTATTTTAAGTTGCGGGCAGCGAAGGAGTTACCGTTGAGTTGGAGAGTTTCCTTGGCAACACCGCCCCAGATCATGGCGCCGAGGCGGCCATTGCCGATGGGAATGGCGTCGGTCCAGTACTTGGCCGGAGAGGTGAAAATCAGCTTCAGCGGTTGGGAAGAAGAAGGCTCTCCATTGCTATTCTCCTGAACGGCAGTTGGATTCCAGTAGTCCTTCTCAGCGGGGCGGGGAACGTGAACCCAACCGCCATCCTCCATTCTCTCCAGCTTCAGCTAAGGGAGAAATGGTGGAGTTAACTAAGGCCCCGACGCCGACGATTTGCCGGAGAAGAAGACCGGAGAAAGAGAGGGAAGTAGCTGCCGCCTCCTTGGTCGCTGCTGCTACTTGTTTCAATTGATAATTGATCATTCACATATGGTCATATGGGACAGGCGGATAGCTGTTTCCTTCACAGCTGCTTCCTTATTTGTTTGCATGGTTTCTTCAAGTAGATGGAGAATGGCGTTAAGTTCTTTGTGAGGTTTGCATAGTTTCTTTAAGCTATTTTGTTTTGACCTTTTAATTTAGTAGATGAGAATGGTTTGTGTGCTATGTTAAGTGTTAGCTCTTAACTGTTAAGAACTAGGTATTTCTGATTTTATAAGAAATTGATATGAAGTATTTCATAAAATAAGAAATATTTGGGAATTTTTTTCATTTATGTTCTGAACGTCTAGGCTACGCTTTATTCGAGCAAGGCGCAAGGCAAGAGCCGAACGCTCGCCTTACGCCTAGCGCTTTTTTGAACCTTGTTTAAACCAATATCCAGTCCAAAATTATGCGCTCGCGGAGAAAGCTGCCCACACCATAGTTTTTGCCACTTCCGCATTTTTTGGATCAAAGTTCTTCACCCATTTACGCAATGTCAAATAATGGTCGGGAAGTGGATCAAAGTTCTTCACCCATCTACGCACCCATCTACGCACTGTCAAATATACTTTGACAGTGCGTAGATGGGTGAAGAACTTTGATCCAAAAAATGCGGAAGTCGGGGGCCCTGGATGTTAGGTAACCATTATTTGACAGTACGTGGATGGGTGAAGAACTTTGATCCAAAAAATGCGGAAGTGGCAACAACTATGGTGTGGGCTCGGCTCCCTGATCTCCCTATTGAGTTAATAAACAGGGAAGTTGTGGAACAAATTGCTAAACGTATTGGATGACCTGTGAAGGTTGATCGAATATGTAACATCCTAACCCGGCCAGGTACTACTTTTACAAAAATGCCCTTGAAAAATAAAATAACCAAATCTTAAATTGCAGCGGGAAAAATTTCATAATAAAATACTGAAAACACACTCTTGTAGTTCAAAGCAAAGCTCTAACAAGTGGGCAAACTAAATATTTAAAATCTCAAAATGATCTCCAGTCTATACTCATAATCATAAATGTAAATAACTAATAATCTATAATGTTGTTGCTACTAAAAACCTTAACTAAGCATCCTCAGTGACGCTTATACTGCCCTCCTCTAACTGGCTGCCCTCGAACTGGCTGCTCACTAACTGCTCCTCTAACTCTTCAAATTGGTGAGTGAGATGGGGTCAGTCTACGCCCTTGCGTTCTAAAAATCTAGTGCTCGAGTATTTTACTTCAAATACTTAACTTAAACTGGGGGGAGTTGTTTATACTTCCACTTTAAAACTCCTAACTCTTAAAAATGTACGAGAGCTATTGTTACTCTCCATTCTTAAAGCTCAAATCTCGACTTAAATACTTGACTGACACGGGGATCTCTCACTAGCTAGTCTGGTTGCCAACTCATACGTATGAGAAGCAATCCAGGCTTTCCTTAAACTAAAACTTATCGTGGAAGGCTCTTCTTCCAAGATTCTCAAGAGCATAACTGTTGCTCGTCTTAAAATATCTCAAGAGCATAACTGCTGCTCATCCTAAAAGTCTCAAGAGCATAACTGTTGCTCTGTCTGAAAGATCTCAAGAGCATAACTGATGCTCTATCTGAAAATCTCAAATGGCAACGGACTGGTGCTAGTGACTAAAAATACTTAAAACGACTTCACCTTCTTAAAGGTGAAGTACTTCTTAACAAAAGGACTTGTTCTAAACTTTAACAATCACTCATAAACGTAAAGTTTTAAAGTGAACATCACACATTTGCTATAAACCACAGCTCAAAAAAGCACATATCATCAATCATGAGCATAAACAACCATAGTAACACTTCACAAAAATACTGAAAACTCTAATACTTGAAAGAATACGTAAGGCATAGAATTTATCCCCTTTACACTCACCTCATATCCGTCGAAATCAACTCTGATGCTGCTCATAACTTTCCATACTCACCCTCATAATAACCTCCTCGCTTCCACAATTCCATAGGCGTCGACGGTTCCTCGTTTGGACATCAAACGAACAAGTTATGGCCAAAATAAGAATTCTGCCAAATTCCAAAGTACCAGGTACCGAAATTACAATTTTTCCAGTCAAAACTTTCGAGACTCCATTCTCCTTCGTTTGACGTCCGAATTCGTTTTTCGTCGATACGTTGATGATCCCGACATCATCCTCTTCGCAGTGATACCCATATATCGAAGAATAGTTGAAGTCGAATCTGCTGGTGTCGCCAACGTAACTTTCCAATGACCCTCCGACGAGTTATATGACGAGCGGCTTTTGGCCACCGTTTGCTTCCCGGAGATACGTCGGGCACTCTCGTTTTTGTTGATTTCGTCACCGGCTGCTCGGCTGCTGTTGGTTGTCACCGGCTTAATGATGGCGATGCGGGATGGCGACCGGCTGGCGTTGCTTACGTCGCGAGCTATTGCTGCCGGGCGGAGGAGGGCCGGGCAGCGAAGGAGACTCGGGGTGCTGGGGGTTTCTATCTTTTCCTTCTTATTTCTTTTTTTCTTTTCTTCTTCTCACTGCTGCTTTTGCTAATAAAAGGGAGTGGGTTTTAATTGGGTCATTATGGAAATTATTAGGGTGAGCGGTTGTGGAGAGGGGAAATTAATGGGGAAGAGAGAGAGAGTCAAGGGAGGGGAAGGTTTACGTGGGGTGGGGTTCTTCCTTTTTTTATTATTCTTTTCTTCTTTTTTTAATAACAATTATAATAGTAATAATAATAATACTTATTATTAATACTAATCTAGGGTTGCAATTTTTTGTACGTAACCGTTATCCCAATCGTTCATTTATTCGGTCGAATCCAAACCCAAATGTCGGGTTGTTACATTTCCACCACCCTTATAAAAATATCGTCCTCGAAATTTAGACTGTGAACTCGGCCTTTGAACTAAGACACCTTGCATTTGACAGCGGTTGCCTCGACTGGGATATCACATTTGCCTGGTTATATGGCACTATATTGATATCTCTCGCTTCCATTCTTGATCATCTTCTTACTATGAGAAAATATATTTTCCTCATCCCTTGCTTATCATCTCTAATAAAAATTCTACTGCCTCTTTTTATCCTCCCCTCAATGTCAAGTTTACCAACAACTTGTCCCACTTAATTGCCATGATTCAATAATGCTCGTAACAAGTTGACTGACACCTTCACTCATGCCACTTATCTTCATGGGATATAATGCATTGTTCACACCTGCTCATAGAATCATCTCATGAGTGAATTAATTCCCAACTTGTGATTTTTAAGAGCCCTTACCCCATCCAACTTTACGGTGACTATTCCCCGAGCATACCCCTCCATGTAGGAGTTTACAACTAATCTCATCAAACCAATCATTCCATAACTCATTATCCTTCTATAAACCATCATGATTGAGAAGTCCTAAAGTTGACTCTCCCTCCTTGTGTTTGGCTTCTTGTACTCTCGCTAACCTCCTACATTGTTTCACATATGCAACATATCCACTAGAGGATTTCCCTAGGTAGACTCTTGACATATGTCATCCATGTCTTTTGTCTTGATCGATGCTTGTACATGGTCTTCATTTCTTAGTCAGGCTTCGTGGTGGTTTAACTAAACTTCTCTAATTTATCCTTAATCAGCCACCTACTCTAGATGACATCCTACTATACCAAACCCACTCAGAGTGGGGCACCTTGGAGAAGTTGACTTAATGCTTTCCTCTTTCTCGGTAATGTTTTTCCTCATCTTACTCCTCTATGCAGTTTCTTGAGCTCGAATCAGTTACCCATATTCCAACTCCTTTATCTAGGATTTTGCATGTCCTTCTCAACTTCATACACTCTCTGACGTTACTAATGTAGTAATGCCCCTTCCTAGTCATGGACTTCGAGATGGCTTCCCGAATTCCATTACTATTTCTAGATTGCTTACCAATCCTTTAGCAAAAAAAAATTTTTGCGATACCTTCGCACAAAGGAACTCGTAACTCCCACCTGAGACTTGACCAATTGACTTCTTGAAATTTCATCAAACTTTCTCGGGCCTTCTTGCTCTTTCCCTGTATTGTTCGCAAACTCTCTTTATTACGACAATTGAGACTCTTCCTCGAATTCTCTAACATTTATTACATCCTCCAATGAACGTTCTATTTGCTTGTCTATACTCGGTTGGTTGAATGACTTACTCCTAGAGCTGGTTTCGAGCCTCCAGCTCTTAGCCCTCTAGTTCCCACTTACTACAGAGGTTCCTCCCTCTGTCACCCCTCATGTACCCTAGGTGGTTAGGTGCTCCCTCCATTCAGGATAGGACAATCACATAATAGATCATCATGAACTCATGCATTCCCCTTTCAACGGTCCCAACGACCTCCTGACCTTTCATGATCTGGTTAGTTTGTAGGGTCTCTAATATCCTCTTTCTGGCTTGGTGTTAACTTAATATTCCACTCACGCATTGTCGAGAAGTAGTTATCTATTCGTACTGCCATTTACCAGCTAACAATTATTCACTCTCATATCCTGTCCTTTCTTATGCATTGACTCACCATTGTTTTCTCCCAAGCTTGGTTTAGACCGTAGTGGCACTTTCCTCCATGTCTCGTCCGATGGTGGTCGTACTGGGACCATAACTTGCCCTTTACATCATTTATCTCATTGCTTGTCTTGTTCCTTTTTAAAGGCTTGTCATTGGCCTAAGTCCCCAGGGTCATGTACCGTCTTCTCCATTGATGTAGTGTATCAATAATGGTTCCTTTATCGTTATATGTAAATGACCATGCCCCCTCTCCGCCTTGACCTATTGTCTACTTGACGTCCTCAGAATCCCTATAACCTACTTATTTCCTCATTTGCTTCATTTCTACTACCCTAGCTTTTCTTAAAGTCTAAACTTTCAACTTCTTAGGGTTGACCACTAAAACTAGTTGAGGGACTTCTCGTGGTACCTCTTTGTTTCTTGACTAATTGCCTCCTTGCTACTGCTTACGACCGATAACCCTGGGATCCTCCCATTATCATAGCTACTGGCGTCTGGTAATTGTAGCTCTTTCTTCGGAGATTCATATTTCTCCCATTTTGCTGTCTTAGTTTATTAGATC